GAACTCATGCTTTATAAAGCATAATTTTTGTTTTTAGATTCTAATGTTACAATGTTAGAATGTAATGTGACTTTAGCCCCTTTTTTGCACATAATGAATAGTACAGCCTACTTTCACTATATTTGTTTTCATTGCCTTTAATATAAACATTGTTTCATTGGACAACATTAGGCATGATGGTAAAAAAAAATAAAAAAATAAAAATATATATATATATATTTAAATATATATATTTTTTAATCCAAATAGAAAATGTAGAGAATACTGAGATATATACCGTATATTGCATTTCAATCAAAAAAATCAGAGATATGATTTTTTTTTGGCCATATTGCCCAGCCATGATATCTATATATACACACACATACAGTATATCCCCTTTATACAACATATAGCTTACAGTAGGGCTGCACAATTAATCGAATTTCTAATCGCGATTACAGTTATGGATGCCACAATTACGTAATCGTTCAAAGCCCAATTAATCGTTCAAAGTCCACTTATGTTATTCTGTGTGCTTAAGATGCGTTTTTTCTTTCTACATGTTATCTTAAGGGTTTTTCCATTGTTTTAATTTTAGTTTTAGTATCACATTATAATACCATTCATATTTTTACTTTTTTTATAATTTAAAGAAGAAACCAATCCGATGTATATTTGAGATTGGAGGCTTAATACTATAGAAAAGCACTAAAGGTTTTTCAGTTAGTGTTTTCAGCTTGTTTATTTTCATATAAAAATACGGCATGCAGTTGCATCAAACAATGGTATAAACATTATTCCATGTAAATTGTGATAATCATAATTAATAATCGCAATTACAATTTCAAGGGAATAATCAACAATTATGATTTTTGTCATAATCGTGCAGCCCTAGCTTACAGTCCATTAAAAATGCAATTTATAACATACAGTCAAGCCAGTAAACATGACAATAAATAAAAGGTAAATGTAATTATACATTCTACATCCCATTCAAAAGGTTGGTGTCAGTAGGATTTTATTTAAAAGAAATTAATACTTTTATTCAGCAAGGATGCATTAAATTTACCAAAAGTGACAATAAAGATTATTATAATAATAAAAGATTATAACTATTTAAAATCATTCAATTCATTTAATAATTTATTTTTTAAATAAATGCTGTTATTTTGAACTTTTTAATCAAAAATCCAGAAAAAAATGTATCATTGATTTTCAACTGTTTTCAACACTGATAATAATAAGAAATGTTTCTTGAGCATCAAATCAGCATATTAGAATGATTTCTGAAGGATCATGTGGCACTGAAGACTGGAGTAAAATTCAGCTTTGCGTCACAGCAATAAATGACATTTTTAAATATATAAATATGTATTTTAGAGAATATTTTATTGAATATTAAATTATTTATTAATATTTAATATTTCACAATATTACAAGTTTTACTGTATTTTTGCTCAAATAAATGTATCTTTGGTTAGCATGAGACAATTCTTTAAAAGCATTTAAAATCCTACCGTAAACTTGTGAAGAGCAGTATACTACCAATACTAACAGAAGCGTACTACAATCATATCATAGCTTTAGAAGACACTGAACCACTACAATATGCTTTAAATTAAAGTATGTGGGACAAATAAGCATTGCCATTTGCTGAGACGATGCAGAGGGTAACTTTAGGACAAATCCTGTGTTTGCTTCACATGAGTCTGTCTCCAGGACATTAAGCAAAAACACACAAATACTAGAGCACTGAGTGCAATTTTCAACTGGAATGATCCGTATTCAAACAGTCTCTGCCTGAAATTTCATCCAGACGAGGGTGATTCAACCAGTGACATCAGGTATCAGCGCCCTGCTGCCTGTAACAGGCCTACCGTTCCGAAGAGCCCTTACAAACACAGTCACAGAGAGCGCAAACACACACACACACTTTCCTCTCTCTAACAATGGCCAATACCATCCGATCTATTTCACAGGGGCCGACCGAGAAGAAAAAACAGTCGTGAGAGAAGCCCCATTTAGCGGAGCTCACTGAAACATTACACTACACATCACAGCCGATATCAAACGACAGCTCCACTCGCCTCAGCCAATCAGCTTACCTCTCTGGGCCCCTGTGCCTCCCTGATTGGCTGGCAGCCCCAGTCTTGTCGTCACGGTCGTGGCCCTCCTCTGTGGAGGATTGTGGGAGTGGAGGGTCGTATCCGGGCGTGACCCTGAATGGCTTCAGATCCCCCTGGTCCAACAGGCTTCGACCAGCACAGTAACAGAAGGCACAGAGCTGTTCGCTGTGAGGAGACCAGAGGAAGGCGGTTAGCCAATGAAACAAGATGGCACGTATTACAGTTCTCTAATGGTTTAAAGGAATGTTTCGGGTAAATCCAGAATGTTCCTTTAACCCTCAGAGATCTACTGATCCAAAATTGCAACACTTGCAATACAATAAAGTGTGTAACATATAAACAATATATGCGTCAAAAACGTCTCCAGCACGTTTTATAATTACCCAAAAATCAAACATAGTTCACCGCTCATATCACGTTCACGTCCATCAAAAACTTAGGCTGGCTGTCGATTGGAATATTAGAACTAAAAACATTAACATAACACACTCATGGGCATCAATCACTTCACTGAAAACTTGATGCCTAAAAAATAAATAATTATTACCTTATGATTCATCTGTTCTTAAATCCATGTCACTTTAATATTACAATATCAATGTCTATCAAAAAAATAACATGCACAATACACTGTAGATTTTAAAACGTTGTTTAATTTTCCAGTAAAGGATGATACATTTTGACATTATTCGTTTCATTTAATTACCTCTTTGCAGATTTTGAGCTATATAACAGCAGCTCACACCTGTATGATAGAAACAAGTGTGGCAGGAAAATATTTACTCAGCTAGTGTTGCTAATTCAGACAAGCTTTACTGAACATTCCTTTGGAAAAAAACGAACATTTTCAGTAAAATGTGTTCATAAAGTTGTAAAATTGAATGGATATTATTTTTAGCTGGGATGGAATTGTGACATTGCAAACCATTTTTAGGAAATTATTAAACTTCACTCTAACATGATTAAAAACTCAATATAGGAAACAATCCAAACACTTCCCGCTGTTTACTGAAACTTGGAGAAAATGCCTCCTTACTGATGTTCTGCATGTTCATTTTGGAATAAGGCCTGACACATTGTTTAATCACACTACGCATTTCTTTCAAATTTATTTAAAAATTTGAAAAATGAAAATAAAAACAGTTCCTTTCTGGGTATCTTGTATCGCTATTATAAGAGACCGCCAACAACATTTGATCATATTATGGTTGATTTCCATAAAATTGCAATTAAAAACATCCAAATGCACAGATGCTCCAAAGACTTACATTAGAAAAGAGCACAAGCTTGTGAGGGAAAATACGGGATGGAAACTGTTGGTCAGAAATATTTTTGGGTGGGGCTTATTAACTCTTCCCTGCTAGCGGGTTTTTTTTTTTTAGTTGCCAGCCACCGTTATCATTTTTGAGCATTTGCATAAAAGTTTAATGGCACCCAGAATATTTTTTTTGCATGAATATCTGAACATGCAACATATCAAGACAAAGAACAGAGCCTTTGCTTTTAAAGGGGTCCTATTATGCTTTTTCCCTTTTTTAATTTTAGTCAGTGTGTAGTGTGTATGTTTGGGCATAAAAAAGATCTAGAAAGTTACAAATCTCAAAGTCCACTCCAAAGGGAGTGGAAAATTAAAAATCCCTTTTCAAGAACTACAACAAACGGTTCGGTTGGACTACAGTGTTTGTTTTCCGGGCTTTGTGATATCACAAAGCGGCTCATTGGAATATCATTACAAATAATTCCCGCCTACGAAGATTCGAATGGTTGGGGAGGGGCGAGGCTGTGGTTAGAACGCTTGGTTGAGTGAGTGCATCAGACAAGAATGCGTTTATACCCCCAAAACAAAATCAAGACTTTGTAAAAGAGCATAATAGGACCCCTTTAATCAAAAAAAAAAAACTTTTTTTTATCAACACTTGAATATGGGTACGTTTCATGAAAAAAGCAACATTTTGAACAAAAAGCTGAGAGAAAAATCACGTTTTTGTATAAGACTATGTCTTGATCAGATTCAGAATGATAAAGATGGAATAGATCAACACATCCAAAGCTTGCACGGTCCTAAAACCACTTCCTGGATCGTCATTTCATTTGGTAACGCCAGGCAGTTTTGATTTATATAATGATTAATGTTTGATGATCGCGTTACTTTACATATGCATCTGCTTACATACACGATCACTTGTTTCTGCTTCTTCTTTGCCGTGTTTTGATCCAGAGATTCAGTACTCTTTCAGAAGATGCGAAATAGCGCCTCCTACCGTACACCAGTGAAAACACGGAAAGCCGGAAAATTCCGTCAATGACGGGGAAAGAGTTAAAAGGACAATCTGAATCCCAGCATGCCAAAGTCACACAACATGATCAATGCTTACTGACACCACTGATTGGTATGGACCAAATTTAGAAAATAAAAGAAAATATAGGAATTGAGTGATGATTCTCAATGTTTAATGAAAACTATTTAATTAAACAATTAAAAAAAAAATGTTAAAGAATTACTACAGTGGGTCTTAATGATAAATTTTTTTTTTCCACAGACAACCATTTTTAATGTTATTCACACAAACAGAGCCCATTCAATAAATTATTCATAAATTGTTTTAAATGTATACAAAAACACAAATTCGGTCATCAATTACTCACCATTCATGTCATTCCAAACTCATAAGAACACACTTGGCAAAGAGAGCAATGAAACATTATTTCCTCATTACCTTCTCCTGGAAAGTTACCCTGCACAATGCCGCGCGGCGTCCATCATCCCATTAGATGTTCTTACAAAATAAATGTTGCTAATATATATGCATTTTGTAATTACGTTTTCTGTGTATTATGCAGCATTTTACGCATGTACCCCTCACTAACGGACTTCTGGAAGGGTCCTTCGTGAAGGGATTCACTTTAATTTGGAACGCTCGACAAATGACGCCTCCTTCAAAGGTGCAAAAACGCTATTTGGAATTCTCTAACTGCTACACTCAAAGGAGAAGCACGTAAGTTGCGAAACCAAAGTTTAGACTACTAATAAGTATGTGGGAGTGTTAGAATTCACACATGCTGTGTCTTTTATTTTCACGCTCCCTGAAAATGGGAAAATTGTTAACAATTAAACTAGCACTCCTCACTGGAATAAGATTGACAGCTTCACGCTAACATATTTAAATACAGCTACACAACATTTAGACACAACTGATTCAACGGTGACCGGCAATATTATGAGTAACTCCTACTTCACGACTTTCAAATATAGCCATCAGATCTTCATGACAGGCAAAAACTCCCTCAATCTAAAAACAACCATTTTTGGACAAACATTATTTCGTGTTGCAATGTGGCTACGCCAAATCTTTTGGTGATGAATGTGTAAAAAGTATCACTTAATGTATTTGCAAAAACTCTTTGACCATTGCAACAAATCCTCGAAATCAGTGAGGCTGTTGTGCGGTGTTGTCATCATAGCTTAAGGAGGAAAACAGTAAATATTGATCCGATATAAAACTGGTCCCCACAACGACAGCCCTGACGGGCAGTACAGTCTGTCCTAAAGAGCCCTTAACAGCCTTTCATGGACTGGAGCCTGGGAGAGCTGCGGCCGTGGTGAGTTGACTGTTTGGATAGGGGTTTGTGTGTTTATGTGTGTTTGTGCATGTGTGGCAGGGGAACCTTAAATTTGTAGTGTAACGTCAACATTGAGGCACATTCAGCTGAGAGCACAAACAAACAGACATGGTGCATGTACATATCTACAAACCCAGAGACAAACCCAAGAAAAAGATTTCTAACTAGCAACAGTGGCTGTGTACTGCTATATAATGTGCAGTTTATACTGTATACTGCATGATATTTTTATTTATTTATTTAATTTTAATAAAAGAAAATGTGACGTTTTGCGACTAATGCTAAAATGTAAGCTATGAATATTTTCTATTATTTTTCTCATTTATGCCAACAGATATTTACATATTTTCAGAAAAATAAAATAAAGATAATTTCAAGATGATAACTGTACACAACTCACTGCTGTATGATTATATACTTTTGTATATATATTTGTATTTTGTATACATATACACCCACACACTTTGGCATAAATGTCTAAAAAAATTGGAAATCAAATATACATATCTATATAAAAATATATTTCTTATGTCTTTATATATTTACAATTAAT